TGGGCCAGTGAAGCGACGTCCTCCACAACTAGACTGAAGAACAAAAAGGACAGCAACTTGTCTGTTCCCCTCCCCCAATTCCCCAATAAAATCTTAAAAAAAAAAAAAGAAAAGAAAAATGAGCCACCTGACAACATGATCGTGACCTATGGCAGAGATAGTCAGGGATACCGGCCTTGCAGCTTCGTCCCACCTCAGTGGGTTTCAGAGATGGACCAAAGCCCAGAACCTGCAGACCATGTGTGAAGCATCCCGGCTGCCCTCTTTTGCCTGGAAGTCGCCCAGCCGTGGCTGCTGATATTGTCTGGTAGGCAGGCTGGCTGCTGGCCAGGCAGCTACAATGAAGGCCCGTGAAATGGTTCGTGGGACATCATTTTTTTGCTGCCCTTGGTTGTCCCTGAGGTCCTTCTGCCTGCCAGCCTCATGACTTCATCGTCAGGAATCAGCCGCTGCTCACCACCACGCCAGGTGGGGCCTGCTCGAGGGGCTGCTGGCCAGCACCAGGGCTGCCGCCGGGAGCTGCAAGACCCTGGCTGGGCAGGGGCGTTGGGAAGGGAATGCTGGGAGGGTGAGAGGTGTCTCATGACTTCCTCTCCCAACATCTGCTCCTCCCTCCTGCCCTTGTAGTGAAGCTGCCAATGGTTTGGGTGGACTTGACCTTGCTCTCAGCTCCAGGGGTGGGCTCTAATTAGTCTGAACCAATCCATGTTATCCCATCCTCCGATCCAGGGGATTTTCCTTGGCCTAGTGAAGGATGCTTGTCTTCTCGGCGGTGTGCTGGAGCTGGTTAGAACTGGCTTGTGAGAAGCTACTGTGTGCATCTCTTTCCAACTGTGTTGTCAAGGTGGTAGCTTGAAATTAGCCATGGTGGGAGTATTTACACCACAGAAATTGGCAAATGCTACAAATCAGGGACCCCCACCCCCAGAGATGGCTTACCAGCACAGCACTGACCCTCTCTTACTAATTGTGATCAAGGAGCCAGGCAGCCCCAGCTGCCGCAGGTGGACCCCCTGTGACCATAGCGGGGCTGATGGCCAGATAAAGCGAGTGCCTGGGGAGACAGAGCGGAGAGACAGAGGGTTTCGATGACATTGTCTGACCACGCCTCACCTCTGGACTTTTGGGTTATATTTCCCCATTTTCTCGAGAGCTTCCTGAATTGTACAGCTCTGTAGCTGGGGTGGGAGTTTATCAGGTCAGCACTTTCAGCCCAGGCCTCTAGCTGTGGAACAACGAAGGCTCATTTTCGTCAGAGTGAAATCCTCTAGCCTGTGAGTGTTGCCTGCTGGTCCTCCCCTCCTCCTGCCTCCTCAGGGGTTGGAATGATATGCTTTTTCCAATCATTTAATTTTGCCGTTTTCTTTTTCCCTTTCTTCACTTTTACTGGCTTGAACAACTCCAATTTTACTTCCCCCACCTCCTTAACTCCCGATTTAGAAATTCCACTGGGCTCCTGAATTCTACTAGCGGTTGACTTTCTGACCTAAACAAACTTATTTAAACCTCAAATTCCCTCTTACCATATGACCAAGTATTAACTATCCAAGGTATTAAAAGCACTCCACCTCCTGATGTTTGCCTTGTCCTCTCTGCCCAACAGGCCCCCAAAAGAGAATTCTGGAACACTTCACTTTCCCTCACCCACTGCCTTGCCGCTGGCCCCAACTCTGGAGTTGGGCTGATGTCATTGAGAAATTTTAGTTCCATTCTTAGG